CGCCTGGAGAAGATACAAAAGCTAAGAGGCCAGGAGTTTCAGAGCATTGTTGAGGTTGTTAAAGTCTTTTGTTCGCAAGGTCTTTGGTGGAGCTATTGTCATTCTTACTGGTATCAGGGAGGTCGCTTTTACCTCAAGCATGTGAACTTTTGCAGAGGCAATGGAAAGCTAGTCTGGTGGCTGAAGGCTAGGGCTGGAAGTGTCCGGCTCAACAAGTTGGAATGGACGAGTGCACAAGTGCCACCGGTCATAAACCTGACGACTATAGTACTGGCGACTGATGTGACTCGTGTAGTAAAATAAACAACTAAGACAAATGTCAGTGTTTATTCTGAGCAAATTAAAGGCCCAAGGCAAATTAGGACCTGAAATAGGAGGCACAAATGAAGACTTCGAGCCTTGGCCAGTAAAAGCTTGAGCGTTTCATGTGGACTGGCTTTCCTAACTTGCCATTTTAGCTCTCCTATATGGAAATCTACTGCGAGCGAGTACGGGACTTGCTGAATCCCTATGGGAAAAGTAATTTGAGAGTCCGTGAGCATCCAGTTTATGGACCCTATGTGGAGGATCTGTCCCGATGTGCAGTTCAGTCATTCGATGAAATAAACGAAATGATTGAAGCTGGAAATATGTCCAGGTAAGGGAATAGCTTTTACACGCAGGGAAAGGCGGCTTGTTTGTTGACTAGGTGTGTGATCAAACATGTAGTCTCACCGGTGAAGTTTCATCTGGGCCAACTTCTACAGGCAGACGATGGCATTGCCTCGAGTTTAAATGCATAAGCGGCTCGTTGTCAACAATATAACCGCCTCCTAGGATGGAGTTCCTAATCTATCGAAGTGTTTACAAATGTCTGAGTTATTTTTTCACAGTCATGAAAATTGCTGTTGCAAAGTAAGACTTAATAGGAGAAGATTTTAGACTACCAGGCTGTATAACACGCTACTTATATTTCTGTTCAGTAGCTTGACGAATTTCCAAGGTTACCATCAGTCAATCTATTTTAGTTAACAACTGTCTTATTTCACTTCAGAACTGTGGCTGCAACTAACATGAATGAGACCAGTAGCAGATCTCATGCCGTCCTCACCCTCCTTGTAACCCAAAGGGAAATCGACGCACAAACTCAGCTGGTTGCTGAAAAGGTAAGCTTTTCTCACCTACAGGATTTCGTTTTCATTACCGTGTGCCGCTGTTTCATCAGTTCCAATCTCATAAAGTCCTAGGGAAGAAAGGCAGCGTTGATGAATTGTGCGCCGTCTTTTAGCACGAGTCACAGGTAACACAAAGGTGCTTAAGTAGAAAAACTTGTTGACCCGTTTTTTTAATGCTTCAGAAGTGTCTTGCCGGCATTTTGAGTTCGACACTAGGCCTG